ATATATATATATATATTGCCATCTGTGATTTTGGCGGAGATTTTCCCTTTTACCTGCCTGGTGAAACCATTGATGATGGGATAGTAACTAAAGGGAGATCTATCTAATGTTGCCATGTATAGCCAGTGAAAACACAATAGGGGTTTTAGCCTTGCCCCACTTCATTCAGTATGGACTGGGCTAACACTTTAAAGCATTTTTAAATAAAATCAGACAACCCCTTCATTTCGAAAGTAAAGTCCAGCACTTGGGTCTCACCACTGCTATACATTTAATCACTATTGAAGGTGGTTTCAATTTTTTTTTTTTTAGCTGCAAGTGGAATATCTTCTTTAGGTCAGTACTTTCTACTGTATACATTTTTGTGTGTGCCTAGGTGATATAGATTCTCTGAAGGGAATTTATCAAAACTGGAACAGACAAAATCTGGAGCAGCTGTGCATGGCAACCAATCAGCTTCTCTCTCTCATTTTCAAATCTTAACTGAACAAACTGTGCCATGCACAGCTTCTCCATATTCCGTCTGCTCCAGTTTTGATGAATTCCTTCCTCTGTGTTTCAAATGTTACAGTATTTTTGGAGCCGGAAATTGATCAACCCTATAATATGCAATTATAAATACTTGGTTCTAGTTGAAGTTACTATAAAAGCAGAATAGCTTAGTATTAATGCTGGCCATATACTTCTATTTCAGCCAGGATGACTTTTTCAATTAACTTTTGGTGGAGGAGCCAGGCTCAAAATTGTTAGCCAAAGAGTGCCTGCAGGCAATCAGCTATGGCAGGTACTGGCTGTCAAAACACAATAGCCAACAGCGGAGATGCAACATCCACGCTTTTTTGCATGGAAGGGGGAATCAAGCTTTTTTCCTATTAAGCACACAGGACTGAACACAAATAAAGTTGAGTGTATGTCTAGCCTAAGTGAAAGTAAGGAATGACTATATCACTGTGTTTATAAAATCATAGCCATCCATTAGTGGCTTATTATTATATTACTTATTTAGAGCACATAATTTTTGAACAATTTCAGTATTGCTTATAATAATCTTTACCTAATCTTTCTTTTCAATGTTTGTATTTAGACTTCAAATATGTTTGGCATTGTGATTATTATGGCCATTGTGCTGTTGGCCTTTGGAGTAGCAAGAAAAGCGATTCTTTTCCCATCAGAGCCTCCTTCCTGGACTCTGGCCCGAGATATTGTGTTTGAGCCATATTGGATGATGTTTGGTGAAGTATATGCTTCCGATATAGATGGTAAGACTAAGATACAAATACTGTGAAGTATGAAACATGGATTTTTCTCTGCTATATATAGGATCTCTTAGGCTTCATTCACAGTTGTGCTTTTGCGTTTAGATTATCTAAAAGCAGGAGCAATTATCTGGAAAGTATAAACAAAGTTTATGCTTCCCAGATTACTTTTTCCTGTGTTTAGTTCCTGCTATTAGTTCCTGCGTTAGTTTGTGCTATAAAGCAGATTTAATCATATTTAGTCATGTTTAGCTGAGTTCAGATCGTATAGATTAAAGTTTAGAGTTTCTAACCACATTCTGGATGACCATAAGTCTAGTTTCTCTAATTATATTTCTCTAAATGCAGCCAAATAAAACAGCCCTTAATGCAGACAAACTCAACCTGGTTCAAACCTGAGTTTCTCCGAACCCGGAAGTGCCATTGGGCCACTCACAAATAGGCTGGACATAAGCAAAGGGGTGGGATGCTTGTGCTGACATCATTGACCTTATAAGGTCACATGGCCATATTAGTTCAGTGTAATTGACCAAATATAGCCCTGTGGCCATATAAGGTGAATTACCTCACAGAATCCTGCCCCTTTGCTTATGTTCAGCTACAGACCGGGAATACCCTGGCCACAGCTGATTGGATGGCCTCGGAAGGAGGTTCCTTTCACGATCAGAGGAGCTCAGGTTTGGACTCAATCCAAACCTTAGCTCATCCCTACACTGTAAGTGTCAATGGTGCCTTAACTACTACTAGAAATATATATCTAATACATATTACATCATATTATATCGTAAGTGCTCGATTTACTAAAGGAGTGGGCTTGATTAACTAAAGTAAATAAGTTGAAGCTTACCTCAGTCAACCATTAATTTCCTCATACAAATCCTGTTTTTTTGCCTTTATAAGTGATTGGGGATTGAACAGAGGTTCACCTTTATTTACTAACATTCACTTTGCAAAGTGAAAATATGCCTTTTTAAGTGAACAGCCTCTATTCAATAAATCAACACCAAAGTGTGTATAACAATATAAGAATGAATAGTGGATATGTAAGTATTAGGTGAATATTACTTTTCTCTTGTGTTATTGTGTAGTTGCCTTCCTGACTTAGCAGGGTCCTTTGTGTAGTTATTACATTATAGCTCAGGAAAGGTTTGGTGGCATTTGCTAGATACAGCTTCTGCTTGTCTGCTCTGCACTACTGAGTTCATAGTGCTTATTTTGTCTTCTAGTGCCTCACTTAGAAAGTGGTTAGTCAGAATATCATTGGAGCAAAGAGGGCACTTTAAATGTTTTCATATTATTCAGTATACTCACTAATTTGAAGGAGATTTGGAGCAGCTAGTTACATTAATCAAAAATCCCCAATCCTCTTTAATGCTGTATTGTTCCCTGTGAAAATGTAATTGCAAAACCACTTAAGCAAATTGATTGTTGGATCATCTGCTACCTACTTTTACCCTTGCCAATGTATAGTTTAACCACTTGACGTTTTTTTATATTTCAAGGACCCTTTTGGTGAGATCTTTGTACTTGAGCTCCTGGTTCTGCATACATGCTGTGGTCATTGTGGGGGGGAGGGGTTTGTTCCTACTATTTATTTTTAAAGTCATTCTGTGCAGACTGCAAGAGAAGGTGTGGTAACATGCAAAAGTGGATGTCACAATTGTGAAATATGTCCGGGAGATGTTGCCGGTGGAGTATTCAAGACATATAAGAAGGCAGAGGCAGAATCAGTCCACCAATTACATCTAAACCTGAAAGAAAACAGTTTAGGGTGGACTGTCCCTTTAAAGTGTGTTTATAGCCCAAACTTTTTTCTCTTTTTAGTTTTGGATAGTGCAGGAGGATCAGAGCCCCTGTTAGGTTTCACTGCTGTCCAGGGCTTCATTAGCGAGCTTTCCTCATACTCACTTTCCCTTTTTGCCAGATAGGAAATTAGGTAAACTCTCCAACATAGAGATAGGAGTAAATATGTTTTTGTTCAAGTTAAGCAGAGGAAGGCAAAACATTGCGCTGTTAAGAAATTGCCTATTGTTAAATCATTAGCATGTCAGTTATTGCTTTTTTTTGTCAAGATTTTGCCTTTTTTTGGGATATTTGTTATGATTTTTCTGGATCTATTCTTGTCCAATTTTATCCTCAAATAACCTCTTCCAAAGATCACTTTTTATGTGAATTTTCACCCATTTTGTTACCATTTCCCTACATCTATAAGACAGTGAACATTGTTACTTTGGAGAAAAACGTGCCAGTTTTTTTCTCTATGTTAAATTAGAAAAACATGTTGCTAAAAACAAACCCGTTTAAGGACACTGTAGAGGTGTGAGAATAATAATGCTTTATATTTGGACTTTACAAAAAAATTCAAATTATGACCATTTTCTCCTGATTTCTTCCCACTTTATTTTAGTTTCATAGGCTTTTTAAATTAAGGGGAAACAGCCCACACAAAGGTTATAAAATCCAGTGTAATTAGCAGTTAGAAAATTAATTCCTGTTTATGCTATTTGAAATGATTCAGTACATTTTGATTGAGAATAAATGTTCTGCATTACATGATCCACTACTGCACCAAAATTCATATGCATTGATCATTCTGCATATTTGCTGCCTGCCCTGTACAGCCTGCTTACCAATAATGCCCATTTAAAGTCTTATTAAAATTACATGATCTAACAAGCAATTACAGAGCTTTAAACCAACCCCTTACTGACATCTGTAACTGCAAGTACTGTGTCATTTATCTTCAAAGATCACAACCAAAACTTTAAAGTTGGGTTTTATCAGCAGTTTTTAACAGCTTACAGCACCGTCTGTTTGTTTATATTAGAAGACTAACAGGCTGCTAAGTGCGCTCTGCCAGGGAAATCCAGGCTCATGTCACACTAGCGATCCTGTCACTAGAGAGATTTAGCCAGTGATAGGTTCGCTAGAAAATCCAAGGAGGACACATACCTGCTTTTTGGGTGTTGCTCTCTTGCCAGCTGCAAAACCTTGCTTCTCTAGCCATCGAAGGAGACATCCATGGAAGCAGATAAGTGTTTTCACGCCTTGTTGTGTCTTCCAAAGTGATTGATTTGGTACTGGGGAATGAAATCACCAGTGAGATTATCTCAAGTGTGACATGATTCGAAGGGGATATGAGCTATAATTTCAGTGCCTTTGTTGTGAATTTAAAGATTAATTTCTCCATAGTGGCAACAGCTACATTACATGGTTAATGATCACTTGTTTTCTGCTACTTGTTAAGAATATATACGTATTTTATGCCCATAGTCTGTGCACAGGTGCACTTTAAAGACCTAGAGGGCCTTCCATGTCAATAGAAAGAAAGAAGCAGAAGCTTAGAGAGTTTAGTTCAAAGAGACTAGCTTAGTGAGGGCTGCTTGTAATTTCCAATTTTTACTTAACTTCTGATCACACATTTATTTTACCAGCCTTTAGGAATCCGTAGGATGCTTCTGGATACTAATGGAGTCACTGAGTAGAATGGCCCTGATTAATGCCTAAAATTGGAAACTTTAGTAAATTAGACATGTGCATATTCTGGGCTCCAAACATAACCTTTCTGATGAAGATGGATTAGAAAATGTTGGTTTAGCTTAGACACGATGATCATCTAAAAACTGTCATAATGATCCTGCTTGTCTAAATAACCATTTTATATTGTTTTTTTCAAGCTTGTGAAGAAGATCCAGACTGTCCACCTGGCTCATTCATCACGCCATTCCTTCAAGCTGTCTACCTCTTTATTCAGTACATCATCATGGTCAATCTGCTAATTTCCTTTTTTAAGTAGGTACAGGAGGAGTGCTAAAGTGGGCTCAAATCTTGGGGATTAATAGTTGGTCTTCATATAAATCTGAAGCTTAATACTGCAGGGATGGTTTCCCAATTTTCTAGTAAGCAAGCAATAAAATCTGTCTGAAATGTTGTGCTGCTTTATTATTCTATAAGCAAACATTTTCCCTTATGGCTCATAAACACACTTCCTTTGGGTTTGCACTGAGTTCTCTCCACCTCATTTTACATGGATTCAACTGTAAAATTCACAAATTAATGCAGTTATGTATTTAGTAAGAAATCATTAAATTCGTTTTATTTTAAAGCAAGCAGTGTAAGTACCAAAATTTTGATCTTGTATTAGCTTCTTACAATCCCCTGTACAGCAGCATTTAGACTGGGGGAGAAAGAAGCAGCACAAGGAACCAGTCAATTGTGCTGCAGTGCCAGGAGTATGCTGATAGGAGGAGAGAGAAGAGTAATAGAGAGATGGGTTCATCAGTGTGCTGCTTCTTTCACTATCAGTGAAAGAGTAGGGGCAGGTGTAAGTGTTACTGATCTGCAGCAGAGTAAAATCAGTTGTCCGCTCATTCTTCTAATCTTTACTTTTTGAAATAATGACTTGGAACAAGCATGCAATAAGTGAAGTCAATATAAGTTAAGAACTGTTGATCTGCATGCCAATTCCAAGTCAGTGACTCCAAAGGGAGAGGAAACAGATGATAAACTGCACAGCAAAGCAACTTGTATTTTCAGACTGAGAGGTCATCTATGACAGTCTACTCGTTTCTCTCAGCCAAAGTTTACTTTAAGGATCTGTTATCCCTTTTTAAAGTTCTGTGTTCCTGCTCTGTGACATGTACGTTAGTTGTTAGTAGTGTGCCTGCCCCTTGTTGAATTTGGTTTTACATTATTATTAATCTCTTAGCCAAGTAGGTTTTGTGAAAATAAAACTGCCTTGAAATATAAAGATAAACACTTGGATTTGTTATTTTATTTCCATTTAGTAATGTGTATCTGGAGATGAAATCCATCTCTCACAAGCTGTGGAAATATAACCGCTACCGATACATCATGACATATCACGAGAAGCCATGGCTACCTCCTCCACTGATCTTACTGAGCCATATTTATTTACTTGTCAACCATCTTTGCCATCGTCGCTCTCACAGTGAGAATGACCAGGATGAAGGAGACTTTGGACTGAGTAAGTAGATCTTTTCTGGAAATCTTTCAAACTTTGCAAATATTATTTACAAACATAGACATGGCAGAATGGTTCCTTTTGGCCCTCCAGCCTAAAGTAAAGACCCCACAATATATATACTACTATGGGTAGGAGATTGATTGTACAGAACAAACCAGCTGCCTGCCTTGCATAGGCCAAAAGTATGTCAGCATGGCAATGGGCATGCACATTAAGCAGTACAGGTATGTGGGTTTGACCAATCTTTTCCCTCAACATACTAGTATTCTTCCTCCAAGCCTGAAGGGAAAGAACCATTCCTGTGATAGCATAAATAGGTGTTAGGAGTTTGAAAAGAGATTACAAGAAATGTACCATTGCAGAAAAGTGTATGCAATAAGCCCAACTAGTAGATATTGTATAGATAAAAGTGTCTACTATTTATAGGGAAAAATGTCTAATGCGTATGTTAAACTCCATTCCTGTAACTCACACTCTTGTGGGCCACCCTCCTTTGCCTTCTGGATTTCTGAACCAAAGAAATTGATTTCCTATGAAAAAATCACCTAAGAGAGGAGGACAGCTTTTCAGAAACAGGCTTTATTATAGTCTAGGGGGCTGGATGGGACCGCTGGGGAGGAGAAAGACAGCAACTCCTCTTGAGTTGACTTCTGAGGTTACTTTATTGTCTGGCGGGTGAGAGGGGTGTAACAAACTTTGTTTTCAGACTGATATTTTCTGAATGAGTTTATACCTCTGTAAATACAGTATATGTTTCAGTGTGGCACAATGCTTGACTACTGCAGTTTGGTTTTCTGTAAGCAGACCGTGTTGTTGTTTGTTTATTTGAAAATGTAAAAAAATTCAATAAACAGTAACCGATTAAAGAAAAATTGAGAATATTTTGCAACCTGATGGACAGAAAGTGAATCATGTAGATAAAATTGCTCTCATTGAGAACTATGGTTTCCATATGGCCTTGCCGCAGTACCAGATTTTAGCAGCAGATAGCAATGCAGATGAAGCTAAACAATGCTGCTCCTGGTTTTAGTTAAATCCAGGAGCTTCCGGATATAAAGTTGTTGCATGATATATTATATAGAAAAAAAAATAATAATAATAATAATTATTATTATACAGGATTTATATAGCACCAATAGTTTGCACAGCGCTTTACAATATAAGGAAGACATTACAGTCACAATACAATTCAAGACAAGATGGTAAGGAGGGCCCTGCCCATGAGGGCTTACAATCTAAAAGATTACACTCACACTGGAAATTGCAATTAATCTGAAAGTGAAAAGAGGCACATGCTTTGTATATAAGGAACAAGAGAAGTGGTACTATGCAGTTGTTCTTACATACAGGGAAGAAAACAATCTATGGTATTCTAAGTCAAAGCACTATCATAAACAGGAGAGTATTTGCCATTTGTTCCTGCAAATGTTTCATATCGGCTTTTAGCACATGTATAAATCCATTGCTGGATTTCTGATTACTGTTTTCGGATATTTCTACTAAATCTTTTCATCCTCAGCTATGCGTTTTCTTTTACTGCGGCTCTATTAACTCAAATGGCCATACTGGTCTGATGGACAACAAGTTATAGGTTAAACAGCCAGCGTAAAATGTAGAGTCAACCAGTGGCCTGCTGTGTTTAATCACAGGCTCTATATTACGGGGCTTTATGGCTTGATTTGTCTGTAGCGAACTGTATAAAAACAGTATTTTCCCTGTGATTAACACACTTGCAGCTCACAGTTCAGCTTTGTTTTCATCCTTTTAAACTGCCTAATTAAATCCAGCTCCTTGCTGACATTATTGTACAATGTGGACGTTCAGAGAATCACTGTTAATATACCACTGGGACTCACACTGTTGTTAAACTATCAAACAGAATCTTACATACTAAAATGTCCTTTTTATGGGTTTTCTTTGTGAGTGAGATAGAACTCTGATGCCACCATGTGGCCGACTTTAACAGTTGCTGCCTCTGGTAGTCTGATGGTTGATGATTTATAATAAAGCCTGATCCCTAGATTTTAAAAAGCCAGAGTTTTATAAGTTAGAAAATTATGTTGTCACCTTTTCTGCATTGCAGATGAATTTCAAAGATATTAATTTAAGTCAATTGTGTCTTTATTTGTTCTTAACTGATTAACGCTCCACTTAAAACTGTTGGAATGACTAAATGTAGAAGTAGAATATTGCTCCTGAAGCTCGCAACACATGTTACATTTTGATTGTACAAACTATGTAATGTAAGGACCTGCCTAAGCAATCCATACAGAATATATCTGATCAGGTAGGCCATTGCACTGCATACTTGTTGCTAGATCTAAAGGAAATTGTAGGCAGCATAGTGGTGTTGTGGTTAGCACTTTGGCCTTGCAGCACTAAAAGTCTCTGGTTCAAATTCTGGTCAGGACACTATCTGCAAGGACTTTGCATGTTCTCCCTGTGCTTGTATGTGTTTCCTCTGGTTACCTCCCACACTCCAAACACATGCTGGAAGGTTCATTGGTTCTGCTCCAAATTGTCCCTGTATACAGACATGTGAGATAGGGACCTTAGTTTGTAAGCTCCTTGACGGCAGGGACTGATGTGAATTTGCATGTAAAGCACTGTGTAAATTGTTGGTGCTTTATAAATACAGGAAAAAATAAAAATTGCATCCAACTTTCTGAAATGAAAAAGAGGGATGCCTTTGTTTGTAAGCAAATGATGCACCCTTTCCATGCCCCCAATGTGTAGACCATAAGGAAAAAATTTGCAAAAATGATAACTTAACCCTAAACGCTACTTATTTACTACTACTTTTACTTTTTACTAGCTTTTCAAAATAGTTAAAAAAAAGAGGTTGGAGGAAAGTTTTAGTGCTTTTGGTACCTAAATAGTTCATTTATAATAGAGGCCTATACATCAGACCTAAAGGACACCTAAGGAGCAAAGAGGGACATTTGGAGGCACTGTCCCTCACTTGGAACCAAGCCCCCTTTTCCTCCTCAGTTGTCCTTCATTTTAGTCTAATGTACAGGCAGGGGCAGAACTACTGGCGGTGCAGCCATCCCAGGGCCACTGACAGGGGGGGACTGGGTTGGGGGGCATGGAGGCAATTTCTCCCGGGCAGTGGCCTAACTACTGCCATGCCCGGGGCAGAGGGGGGCCCGGTCAGGAGGCCAGGCCTCAGCAGTGGAGGTAAAGGAGGCCGGAGCCCACCGGTCCTGCAGCGGAGGAGGGGGCCAGGAGCCCAGCAGCAGCGCTCCAGCAGCAGAGGAGGAGGAGGCCGGGGCCCAGCAGCGCTGCTTCAGAAGTGGAGGAAGCCTGGACCCAGCAACAGGTAAAAGAAGCTGGTGTGCAGGGAAAGGGACCCTGACTAGCCCACCTAAGACCCTGCAGCGCCCCCCTCAGAAAGTCTCAGGTGGGCTCTGCAGGGTCTAAGATATGTGTGGGGAGACATTAGAGTGTAAGTTCCTCTGGTGTGCAGAGATCGCCGGGTTGGGGGGCCAGTGAGATCCCCTTCTGGCCTCCCCTTTGGAGGGCCCAATATAAAATTTTGCACAAGGGCCCTTTGTTCCTTAGGCCCATCACTGTATACAGATATCAATAAAAAGGTATATTTAACTATCAAACGTTTTATTCTGCACTAAAACCTTTATCCTATCTCCTAATTATCGTGTTTACTATTTTGGAAAGCCATTATAAAGAAAAAGTAATGGTGGAAACAATTCTGTGTTTGACCAATCATTTTTGGCTTATAAATTCTTAACAGTCCACATAACTGTGTGTGTGGCATAGGTGTGTCCATTGCCTAAATACATTGTGCTGGAATGTGTTCCTCTTTCTCATTTGAGAGAGTTGGGAGGTATGTTTTGGTTCCAAATGAGGGACAGTCCCTCCAAATCTGGGATAGTTGGGAGCTATGGAAATTGTAAAGATTGTAACCTTTATAGTCATCTTAATGCTGAAGCATTTTTGTTTTGAATCAATACCATCTTTGCCTGTTATAAAGTTATACCTATATCTCTTTTGCTGTCTGCTGTGATTAGCAGGCTAAGATTAGCCTGCTAATGTTTCCTGTTGTCTTTGTTTCTTGAGTAATCAGTTCTCCTTTATGCATTTTCAGAACTTTACATGAGTGATGATGACTTGAGGAAGCTCCATGACTTCGAGGAGAAATGTGTGGAGACATATTTTCATGAGAAAAATGAAAGCTTGCACTCAAGTGACAGTGAGAGGATTCGTGTAACCACTGAAAGGTGAGGAAGACTTCATAAAGAATGGATCAAAACCAAAAATGCGTCTTTGGAAAGTAGTAATTATGAAAACATGTGTACCAACATATGTATACCATCATACCTCCAAGTTGTGTAATCTCTATTTTCTAATTCCTTCAGAGATGTCAAAATTGGTCTGTGCTTATGACCTGCACCTGCTAGGGGGCTGCATGTGTAAAACTGGAAGAAAGTAACTTTCTGGATAGCTAATTGCAATCTAATCAGAGATGTACTTCTGAACATTCCTTGTATTACATAATTTTGGTCAATTTAAAGGAGATTTAAAGGGATTGTACACTCAGATTGCAGGGTGCATGGCCAGCCTTAGTTGTCACCAGATCAAGTATCCCTGTTGGAAGACCTCCTTTCCTGTTCTGGTAACAGATAAAAATGTGGGATTTTACCTTACTTTTAGTCCCAATGACAATGATCTCCAGGACAAAGAGAAAGCTTAAATTTCCCTAGCACAGACAACAATAAAATCAGTACAGGGGTTCTTACCCCTCGCCACTTACTCTTCTACGTCTCTAGAATTAATTATTGCCATGAAAAAAATAAAATAAAAGGCTGTAATGAAAGTCATACTGGGTTGTAGCAGGTGCAAGGGGCTCCCTTTAAGTTCAAGAACTAAGGTCACCTGTCATAAGTTGCACCTCTAGTTTCTATAGCTAATTGCACATTTCTTCTTACACCATTAATTTTACACAGATGAACTGCCATATCAATAACGTTGAATCTGTGAGTACAGCAATCATCTTCTTGCTGTTTTGGTCTGCAGATACTTTACCATTTCCCATTTAATGAGCACCAGAGTTATAACAATACTAACAATAATAATAAATTATGTTCTACATTTTTTCCATTTGTCATAGAACTGAAGAAATGTTCTTGCAACTTAAGGAAATGGGTGAGAAAGTTTTCTATATCAAAGACTCCTTGATTTCATTGGACAGTCAGTTGGGGCACCTACAGGACCTTTCTGCTTTAACAATAGATACATTAAAAGTCATCTCAGCAGTGGACTCTCTACAAGTGGAAGATGCCTTAATGAACGACCAAAAGAGTCTCTCTTGTAAGAAGATACCACATAGCTGGAGTAATGCTACATATTCACAGAACAACAAAAAATATAATTATTATAGTATGCCACCATCACTTCTAAGGACATTGGCAAGGAGCCAGATGTCTTCAGAGTGTCACTGTCCCACTGAACAAACATTCTCACATTTTGATGACTGTAAGACAGAGGAACCTGAGACAGAGAGCGACACTGTATCATCGGAAAGTAAGTCAGCACCTCAGTATGGAAATTTTCTTCTTGTTCCTTCGAGCCCAGTTGGATCTCCTTGCTTTGATGAGCCTGTTTTGAGCTTTTCAGGCCAGAGATGCCATCATGAATCAGCTTCCAAAGATGAAGAAAACAATGATTCTGCTTCCATCACAAATGTTATTCAGTGTGTGTATGAACATGAGAAGAAAGAGCTGGACGGTAAGCAGTTATTACATGAAGATGTAAAGCTTTCAGTAATAAACATGAATGAGCTCCAGGAAGATTCAGCTAATGAAAACACTTCAGATGAAGGATCTGCAAATGTTGAAGTGAAACAATCTCCAAGCTGTACTAATGATGAACCTATGGGGGTTTTTGTGAACTGGGCGTTTTCAGAGGATGGTGAAATTGGAATATTTAATGGTGGAAAGAGTCAGCAGCTTTGCATTCATCCCAATCACTTTAAAGACTGCCAGTGTGTAAATAATTTTGACCGTAAAGGCTTGCACATTGAAACACACTTATCTTCCGGTTACTCTGATAAGGCTTTGCTAGATGTTGACAACCCAGAACAGAGCACATCGTCCTGGACCAGCCCTCTACACATAAGCTGGGATTTTGCAAAGTCAAGCTTCAGAAAGCACAAGGAAAAGAAAGATGGGAAGACAAGCATAACAAAAGGTGATTAGAATACCTGGACCCCACCAGAACCATCTTTCTGTAAATTACTTTACTGGCATTGACAGTAATTGCAATTCTTTTGAGGGGGATTATTTCTGGATGATCCTGCTGCTAGGTCCGGGGAGCAGCCATGTTCCTTCTATAATACTTTTCTCCATATATCTGTGCTCCTAGGCTTAATCCTACCCACCTAAATTAAATTATCCTAATAAAGCAGCAGCTGTGCTGGTGCATAAAATGCACCACATGTATCTATAAAATCCACAATCACTCTGCTCTAACATAACTACTCTAAATATCCCAAATTCAATAGACAAAGTAAAAAAGATAATGAATAAAACAATGATACAAAGGGGTCTATTCACAAAGCTGCCAGGGGCAGCCGAGTGAATGACCGATCAGAAGTGAAGTGAGCTGAACACTGTTCGGCTATTCACTTCAGGCTGGTACGGCTGATTTCAGCCGTATATCGGCTGAAATCAGCCGTACATCGGCTTGCTTCGTGTGGCTTCGGATCAGCCGAACATGCTCAGCATGTTCGGCTGATCCGAAGTGCAGAAGGAGTTCGACTCAGCCGATCCAACATCTGGATCGGCTGAGCCGAACCTCCGGCAGGCTTCTCACTACTGTTCGGGCTATTCTGAAAGATCCCGAACAGCAGTGAGAGAATAGCCGAATGCCGCCGAGCTGCATTTGGCTCGGCTGTTCTGCTCGGTCCCTCAGAGGCACCGAGCAGAACAGAAAAAGAGTGAAAAAAGTAGAAAAAAGTTAATAGAAAACGATTGTGCAGAACTAGCAGTGACAGCTAGCTCCGCCCAATAGTTTCCTATTGTCCGGCGGCTCTGCTGCTGTAAAAAAATAAAAAAAATCCCCCGGGCGCTCTGGGAGCCCCCCGCTCCCGGCCACCAAGAAGAGAAACTTCGCTGTGTCTTTTTTTTTCTTTATTCTGACACGAGCATGTCAGAAAACAGAAAAAAAAAAGACGAATTCCCATTCAAAAGCATTGGGAGTTTACTATTGGCTATTTCAATTTGCAATAGCCAATAGTAAACTAGCATTGTACCCGCCCTCTGCTTATGGACCTGATGGGGAACTGAAAAAGAGGGCGGGTACAATGCTAGTTTACTATTGGCTATTGAAATTGAAATAGCCAATAGTAATGTCCCAATGCTTGACTGAGCTGCTCGGCCGTGATCGGGAGCTGTACGGGCTATTGTGAATAGCCCGTACAGCACCCCCTCGGTTCTCCTGAACCGAAGGGGTCCTGGGGCCGAAGCCAGCCGAAGGATCGGCCGAAGCTACGGCCAGATCCTTCGGCAGCTTTGTGAATAGACCCCAAAGTGTCCTTGTTTAAATGTGTCAAATCAACATGATACAGTGTTTCCCAATAGTGCCATTGTAAACAGTCCAAAAGTGCTTCTTACATTAATACAATAATAAAGAAACTTTGCCCTTACTCACCAGATTTGATGGACCAATAAATATTACAAGTAATTTCAAGGTACAAAGCCGTTCATGGGAACTTATGGAAAAGTCCAAGGTAGCAATTAAAAGCACCCCTAAATTTTCTCTAAAGATCTGTTATTTCTATATAGTGATAGTCTGCTGTGAACTGTTAGCAGCTATGCGACAGGTTCACTTTATTGGGTTGCCCACTCAGCATTGATTTTAAGTTTTTAATAGAATCTTGAGAGTTATGCAACCTTACATTTTCTTAAATCTCTTAGAAAATTCCCTGGTAAGATTTTCCTCTGTGCTTGAGTTTTTAGAACTGTACTATTCCTGTTCTTCTTTCACTTTATTTTATTCACTGCAGATTATTATTATATTGTTATTAATATCATACAGGATTTATATAGCGCCAACAGTTTGCGCAGTGCTTTACAATATAAGAAAGGCATTATAGTTACAATACAAATCAAGACAAGATGGTAAGGAGGGCCCTGCCCGTGAGAGCTTAGAATCTAACTGGAGGGGCAAGTGATACAAGAGGTGGTAGGTGGGGGGGATGAACTGTTTGAGAAAGTGATAGTTTAGTGGTTAGGTTGAGGCGATATAGGTTTCCCTGAAAAGATTAGTCTTTAGGGATCACCTAAAGGCAGACAGAGTAGGAGATAGCTGGTCAGGTTGGGGTAGGGATTCGAGAGAATTTAGAGATGTTCTGGAGGCGAGAATTGAAAGAGTTGATGAGGGAGCTAGAGAGCAGAAGGTCTTGGGAGAAGTAGAGAGGACGGTTAGGTTTTGAGATGAGGTTGGACATATATCTGGGGACAGAGTTTTGGAGGGCTTTGTAAGTGGTTGTTAATATTCTGAATTATATCCTTTGGGTGATTACAGCAAAAAGACTAACCCAACCCAGTCTCCAGAATAAGAAACATGTGGAAATATAATTAATGAGGGCACAGATCTTTTTATTGTAGAATGAGGGAGGGATGGAACATCTGTTAATTTTTTATTTACCTATTTGTGCATTTGTTGCAGAGATAGCCCTTCACCTCCTGTCCCACTAACAAGTGTTACCACCACATAAAGTGAGAGAGACTTGCAGTGGTAACCCTTCTCCACACTTTCAAATCTAGAGTTCCACTTCACGCCCTAATATGCAGGACTTCAATGTATGTTTTATCGTTAATGCCAAGTGATTTATTTCCATCTATTGTCTAAACTTTTTGTAGAATTTGCAAAACCTTCAGACTTTTATCAGCTTGGGTGGGCCAAAGAGAAACTTCGTAACACCTTCAGAAGATCTTTCAAAGGAAAGACAAAGCAGACTCTACTTCAAGTTCCTGTGAGATATTTCAAGAAATTATTATTTTTCTTTATGATGTTATGCCTGAGATTTTTTAGTATGAATTATGTGTCTTTCCTGCTCACATTGTACACCTATACAGGCCACAGACAAGGCATTTAAAGGTGTTTACTGTTTAATATGTCCTTACCAGGCAATAATCAGCAATCATATTGTGAGTTCTGGACAAGTTCTTATTTACCTAGTCATCTTGCACATAGGCTTATAAATGCATTCACTTAGAACCACTAAAGCTTTTGGACTCATGTCATGTGTATGTGTATAAGCTGTTGTAAGAAACATGAAATAAGAGTGAGAGCCACATAAGACTTCAATGGCACTGGTGGGTGATCCAGTCCTCCAGTTAAATAATAATATAACATCCTGACATTCAAGAGTTCCTAAAAATGGAAGTCCTTTTTGAAGTACTTGGAATAGAGAAACCTAATACAACAGAATTTTATAGGTTAATATTTATTTAAGGCCCCTTAAAAATATTAATATTTTCTTTGTAGAAATGATCTGTTATTCCACTTTTTTGACTGGAGAAGATGTTGCTAAACTGTTCTTGACAAGAGTTCAAGTGTTCTCTTTAACCATAAACATGGGATACTTAATTATGTCTGGTCTCCCTTATAGGTCATCACTGTTGATGGTTGTTCTCAAAGCACCGAGATGAGCTCAGAACCGGCAGACTGCAGCAGCTGGAATTATGAGAAAGAAGAACAAAGCAAGAACAGGTTGACTGTATCTAGTTTCAGTCAGCTAAGTAAGTGGCCACCTGCTGCTAGCAAAACAATGTGATCCATTCCCTGCTATTTATTAAGGTCTTTCATTAAGTGTGGGATTATGGTGTCATAGAGAGGATGACTGTTTGGTTCTCATGGCTGTACTGACTGTGCTATGAATGCTACCAAATTAAAGAGTGTTGTTCAGCCCGTTAAAAGCTTGAAATGGCACTGAAAGAAAAAAAAGCAGGCATATTATGATCACATTTATGTAAACACTTCTGTAAATTTTGTGAACAAAATGGAAAATGCATTTAAATCATATTTCTGAGGTTTGTCTGTTTTGGTGAGACAGTCCTAATTTCTGATCCTTGGGCAGGGTGCAGTTTAGAAAATATTAATGGATTTGTTCAAATAACATTGATCTGTGGTAGAATCTGGACAGTCTTCAAAATAATATTCTGAATTTAGATTTGGAAATATTGGGATGTATGAATAAAATGGTTGCCCATTCTTGTCAGATGTCACCTGCAAAAAGAGCACAAGTTTTCCCGGTAACAGATAACTGTACACCTAATGTAATGCAAGGTTCAACAAGAGTGGTTTATTACCTCTTGAGGAATACTAATACCACAGTCATTAGCTGGGCTGAATTTCTACATAACCAACATAGGTCATGGGCTGATGCGTCAAGGCTGGGTACCTTTAAAATTCCAGCTCTTCACTGGTCTCTACTGTGGAACAGTTAACGCTGAGGGACTGAGGACTGATATCATCCTCTATTCAGTGTTGAGAAAGCATCCCCCTGCTGGTGCACCTGCTTTGCAAAGAGCCATGTGGAACGCCAATCTTCGGTCTGTTCCTACTGCTCATCTACGTTGACTGCTGCCTGTGTTTTATGAGAACCTGAGGCCTTGTCTTACACCCTGAGCTTACTTACCTTACTGCCATGTGGTCTCAGCATGTCTGTTTCTAAACACAGAGAGGACAGTCTTGCTTAGTGGATGACCCTAGCTCACACTCCCCTAATGATTTTGGGGACGTTTGTTCTGTGCCCTCCAAAGGTATCGATATCTGTAATCTGGAATCCGGTTACCCTATGATTATATGGTCTACCTGGTAATTGGAGTCCTCCATTGCACCGCTGGGTAAGGCTGAATCCCCTGCCTTAACGACCAGGGTCAATCCTACAGTCACAGACCTTTGGCCACATTTAGCCAGTTATTTTCAGGTTCTAACTGCTGAGGCCCTAAGCACACTTTTGCACCCTCCCCTGCAGAGTATGTTGATGAACTGCCTGCAGCCTTAGAGGTAGCCAGGCTGTAAGTCACAGTGACAATTTGTGACTCTGGGTCACCTCAGTCTCTCCCTGATAAAACGATTTAAGGAATCACAGTCTTCTGTTTTTGCCCCAGATTTAAGAGAGCGTTTCGGCTCTTATTGATGCTGTATGTGTGATGGTAATGAGGTTTGCGCATATCAATATTAAGTATGAAATTCTCTCTTCCCTCATCTTGAAAAAATGCAGCCTTCAATTCAGTTTAAATGACCTCAGACTGCCCCTAGTTTTGTTTAGCCATCCTCAAATTCCAGCAAAACAGATATCTGCTAATCTGGGCCTGTGATCTGTATAGTCCATAGTACTTATCACCTAAGTGAGGTACCAGGATTACCCCATAACCTTTTTATGGCTACCCCTAATGAAAGTCAACCAAGCATAATTGCAGATCACCAATAAATTAGCATCTGACAGACCTAGGTAAACACAAGAGGGTCTGGCAAGGATAATGTCCCAGTTGACCTCGTATTTACACTGAGCCTTAAACTTAAGTTACCACCAAATTCAAAAATCATAATTCTGAATCAGAGAGTGATATTGTAAAACAAAGTGCATGAATAGTTATGTCTCTTCAAGAGAAATCCACACGTATCACTCATGGGTGGGTTACAATGGTCAGAGGCCTGACAAGCCATGTTACCCCTCCTGAGCCAACCATGGGTTGTACAAATGACAAGTTTGGTTTCTATTTATAACTAATGTTATGACGCACACTAAGTTAGGGGTTATTAGACAGTAATATGTAAGAATATTAAACTATATATATATATATATATATATATATATATATATAATCTCTTCAAGAGAAATCCACACGTATCACTCATGGGTGGGTTACAATGGTCAGAGGCCTGACAAGCCATGTTACCCCTCCTGAGCCAACCATGGGTTGTACAAATGACAAGTTTGGTTTCTATTTATAACTAATGTTATGACGCACACTAAGTTAGGGGTTATTAGACAGTAATATGTAAGAATATTAAACTATATATATATATATA